CATCTTGATACTAGGTTTTTCAATCAAAATTACGGTATCATACAGAGGAGAGGCAAGACTCAAGACCACCTTGCTGGTGTGAACATGGCACAGGGGTTAGGGTTCTGGAATTGGCCGCAACATCATTTGCAACATCCTGATTGTGGCACGGGCAATAGAGCCATTGGCATTCCAGTTCTCAGTGTGGTCGGGGAGTCACTCTCTGGTTTCTTTTTTATTGTGGTTTTAAAAAAAATACCATTAAATGTACCATCTGAACCATTTTTAAAAGAACAGTTCAGTAGTGTTAAGTATATTCACATTGTTGTATAACAGATCTCTAGAACTTTTTCATCTTGCAAAACTGAAATGCTACCCATTAAACACTAATTCCCTCCCTACTCCAAAGATAAGATTATGGTATTTCCCTTCATAAATGCTAAGTTTGTGAAGATGATCTTTATATGAGTCATGTGTGTGTGACATTAGTGGCATCTGACTTCTGTCCTTGCCAGTGTCTTAGATCATGAAGAGAATGGTCTTGCCAGTGTCTCAAATTGGCCCTCTCTGTCCCATCACAGGTTGGGAAATACAAATTAGCAGAGGGCAGTATGATCAAGTAGAAAGAACATTAGACTTGGAAACAGAACTAGATTGGAGTCTAGATTATACCATTTACCCCAGATCACTAAAATGTTTACCCATCCCTAGGTTGAATAAAATATTCCCAGCCTTCTTAGCCATGCAATTTACAATGATCAAATGAAGTATGTGAGAGCACTTTATATGATTATAAGAGATGTCAAATTTGAAGAAGTATAGGTGCTAAATAACCATCTAAATGAATGCAAACAATATTACATAGCTCTGCCTGGTTTTTCTTCTCATTTTTCTCCCTCCTTCTGACCTGTTTTGTTTCTCCTGAATTTCGTTTAATAAGTCATCCATTTCCAACTAAACTACATATCTTTTCCTATACAAGAGAATCCCCTTTAACTTTCCGTCTGATTATACTGAACATTCAACATTAACAAATTGTGCAAAGTTTAATTCACAATAAAATTTCATCTGTAGGTCACCATCATGAACTTCAGTGTGGACATGCTTTTTGTGAACGGTGCTTGTTAGTAACTGAAGAATACAGCACAATTATATGCCCTGATTGTGAGGTAAGTTTTAGTCTTTCATATTGAATGCATTACAACCTAATGTTAAAGGTGAAAATATTGGAGAAATAAGACATACTTTTAGTTAGGAACTAAAAACTTGCATTTTTGCTCCTGAGTCTAAGGAACCTAGCAAAAGATAAGCTGTTCATATCC